GTGTAATCTAAGTCATACATACATACATACATAGGAGTTTGGCACCACTGGTAAGGCGCGACCATTGCCCCCGGGAGATCCCGGGATCGATACCCGTTAGGGTCAAAAGTCCTTCCGATGGTGGACGGCATTGCGCCCCTAGTTGATGGACGGTGGTGACCTGGGATAAAGTTAACCTGCGAGCCGACCAGGAACGGAGTTGGGCCGCTGTCGACCCGGCAGATTCCGTTGGATGCTGGTGTTGGGTGCGGAACCTGAGCGATCCACTGAGAAGTTAACTAGGGTGACCGGATGAGGGTGCCCCGAAATACCGGGGAAGGCAGGGTTTCGCAGGGTAGCTGCCACGGGCGAAGATACACCCCCCTGTTTCACACATCATACATACACACCCTTCCAAATCCTCACAGCCCAGAGCCCCCGTGCCCCCCCCCTCCGCCAACCCCCCTCGGTGCCGCCCGACCTCCACCCCGACCGCCGACAGTGCTACCGCTACAGCATCACCAACGGCGAGACACACGACCCGCTGAGGCACCGTTACGCCCTGCACGTGCGCCGACATCTTGACCTGGCCGCGATGCGTTCCGCCGCCGCCTTGCTGACCGGAACTCACGACTTTAGTCAGTTTTCAAATATTGGGGAGGAGGGCGGCAGCCCGGATGTACAGCGGCGGCGACGGCAGCGCAATCCGGTCAAGACGCTTCGTCGAGTGGATGTGGTGGTGGAGGAAGAGGAGGAGGAGGGATTGGAGGGGAGGGCGCTGGCGTTGGGGAGCAGATTTTTGCGAATCGAGGTCCGTGTATGTATGTATGTATGTATGTGTGTATGTATGTATGTATGCTCGAAGGCGGCTAAAACCCTAAAACCCTTATCACTAAGGAAGGCGGGAGAAGAGAGCTGCTCTTACGCAACCAAACACATTAAACGTTCACTTCCCCTTCACACACACACACCCAACACATACACAGCACAAAGATACAACAACACAAATTACTTTGTTTGTTGCCCTCAGCAGCGTCCCGCTGTTCAACTCCTCACTAGCAACCGAAACACCATGCCATTGGGGCCCCCAGGTTGAAGGCAATGGCTTCCTGTACAAGATGGTACGGCACATCTCAGGGGTCCTGGTGGCTGTGGGGGAGGGGAAGCTGCAGACGAAGGCGGTGGGGCGCATGTTGGAGGTGGGGAGCAGCGAACCGCCCGGTACGTGTGTGTGTTTTTATGGATGTAATGTACGTATGCATGTATGTGTGTGTGGAGATGGGGTGTGTTTGGGAAGGGGGGAGTTGTGGAGAGGGGGGAGGTGTTCTCAGGAAGGCGGGGGGGGGAGGGATGAGGAGGGGTGAAACTGGGTTTTGAAGCGGGAGGGGTGAAGGACGCGGAGATCGTTCCTTCCGGTCTGAAAGGGGGGCAGGTAGGTGGAATTTCGGAATAGAAATTTGCGACACATACGTGATAGACTCAACCCGTCATTCCTGGTTGAATGCCGACCCCCCGCCCCAGCGCCCCTCTCCCCACAAATCTTTACGCATATGCACTTACGTACATACATACATACATACATACATACGCGCATGCAGGTTGTCGTGGCACCTATCGCGGTTACAACGTGGCCTCAGCCAGGGGACTGTGCCTGCACCGGGTGTTTTACGACCCCAAGGTGGATGACCCCAGGTATGTATATCTGTGTGCTTGGGTGTGCGTGGGGCCGGCCGGCTTGGCTGGGCCTTGGCCGGGTTTTTGGTTTTCAGCTGCTACGATAGGCCGTAAGGCCCATAAGGCTCATGTCCCGCACTTCTTATCCACTAGCATCTCGTGCAGCGTGCCTCCTCGTTTGTGTGCCTGCCGTAGATTACCTAGGGGTTGAAAGACCGCGCGCCGGTCTCGCCGTTGACAGCAGCAGTGGCTGCCAGATGAGCGCCAGTCCGGTACCCCTGACGACGAGACTGCTGGGACGACTGTTACATGACTGTTTCACTTCTTTGCAGCCTCTATCCTCTCTATCCGCCTGCCTTCCTTTCTTTCCGCTTGTACTCGTGCTCCCACTGTTTGGTACGACAGTGATGGAATTTGTCACTCCTCCCCTTATTACCGCACTTACCGGCGTCTTCTCTCGCCAATCCCCTTCTTCACCCACCCTCCGCTCTTCTCCCCCCCCCTCCCCAACACCCACACCCACGCACGCGTATGAAGTGTTTTGTTGTACCCCGAGCTGCAGCACGATGAGTACGGCAGATTGTTGGAGAGCATCCCCGGCGCGAGATCTGATGAGGATTAACTAACTGTCTCAACGAACGAACGAACGAACGAGCGATTGAAGGGACGTCAAAACAGAAAGGTTGTCGAAAGCGAAGGGACTAATCCTTTCGTATGATTGTAAGGTGGCCATCATGTCATGCTGTATGTGATGGTGACGTCTGATTCCGCCAGTTTCTCGTGGTGGGAGGAGGGTGGGAGGGTCCTCAACGCGAATCTCATCCTTTCCCTTACCCGACGACGTAACACCCGGATACAAACGTGATGATGTTGACGATGATGATTAAAAAACACTGTTTAGCAAAGCACGCGCTGTCTAAAAAGCAGAGTATTAGTGGCCAGGAAAGCCAGCAGGGGTCAGTCGGCGTCCCGTTTAGGAGTGTGAAGGAGTGAACCTGGTAGTCGGGGGCTCGGTGTTCTCCGAGACACAGGGTGCGTGCCTGCACGCACGCACGCTATCTCAGGATGCGCTTTCAGGCGCGCTGGCAGCTCATCCTAAGAATGTAGGTCAGTCCACCAGCACTGGAATGGACGCCGGGGTCGTGGAGAAGGCGAGACATGTTACCAGCTCAGCTGAAGTATCACGACATTTCAGCGTCACGCTCATTTTTTTGCCGTCTTTTCTACTCGTCTGAGTTAATATCAGTGTGAATATGTGTAATTCCGTGTAATTGTCGTTTACTCGCGTAAGGTGTTTAGTGTTCGCCTTACACTCGCTTCGCTGTTCGAGTTGTGGACGAAGTGCGAGTGCATACTCATTTGTGTATGCTTACGTAATTTACCTGTGCATGGAGCTAGCGGCTGTAGATGTGCTAGGTTTGGAGAGGGTGGTATTATTTACTGCCTGCCTGCAAGCTGCCAGTCATAATGATAATCCGTACGCTGCCTTGAGGAAGCAAATCCTACATTTCAGGATTGTTGCAAAAGTGGTCAACCAGGGAAATGCGACGTGAATAACAATCTCGGGACATGGCAGGCAATAGACCAAACATGAAGCCGTTACCGCGAGGTAAGAAAGATTACCGCAGATGCGTGCAGCAGGTACCGGTACGGTGTCGTGCAGTCAGGGTCTTGACTCGTACACAAGCCAGCCTATAAAGTCCAGTCAAATGCTGCAAACGACCCATAATGCATTCGATATGGACCCTAGTTTTAATAAATATGCTTTCTAGACGATAAAAAGGTTCTTTCGTCAACAGTCGGTTTTGGGGGTTTGCCTATGGTACCACTGCTTTCCGACAATTTATTCGCCACTTAGGACAATGAAGCGAGATGCCACACACTTCGGAGGCATCCTCAAGGCCATCTGCGCAAACCTGTGCAGCCGGTGGAGAGGTCGGTCACAAAGCGAGCTTCGAAGGGACCGACCACATGAACTAAAAGGAAGTTAAGATGAGATGTAAGATACCCGCTATGCGCATATGTGGGATGGAGGGTGAAATCACCTTCTGCCGATCGCATGCGCACAGGTGCCCGGCCACCCGGCTGAGGCATGAAGCCTCCCTGGAGGGACCAACCACCTTCTTCCCACGGTCTCGCATTCCGTCTAGCCCCAAAGGGCTCAATAATTCAACTTGTATTGTTTTTATCATATGGACAAATACGAGTTGAATTACTGAGCCCTTTGGGGCTTCACGGAATGCGAGACCGTTGACATGACAAACGCGACTTTGTTCGGGTCAACTTCTTCTCGTTCGTCAACCCTAGCAAGTTGCTGGTGTTTAGAAGATAAAGGCTGTTGTATTGGATCTGTGAGATGCACGCTGGGGAAGAAGGTGGTTGCTTCTCCAGGGAGGCTTCATGTCTCAGCCGGGTGGCCTGGCAGGTTTGCATTGCGATTACCGAGTTATTTTCCTTGGGCAATAATTAATTTTGTTGCACAGGCATGCAAGTGACTATGTTATGGCCCACGACGGAATCTGACCTAGAATGCGGAACCCCCCGGTCCAGTTACTAACTGCAGAGCGGTACGGCACGATTTGAACAGGCTTCCGGACATCTAAAGTTAGCAGAGCCGTCTGACCGTTACAGTGCTGAGGGCCTTTCCGTTCCTTTTGGACAAAAAATGATTATCTGAGCCAGCGTTTGTTTGTGCTTATCCACCCTTTGGTTACATCAGCGGGTCGTAATTTACCTGAGGTCGAGTGCAGCTCCCAGATCTGCTGCTGAAGCACACTGCTAGCTACGGAACTCATGCGAGCATGGAACATGATGAAGCTTGTGTGGACATCACGCGAAAGCCATCTATCGGACGACAGGATGGTGAGCACAATGCATTGAAAGAATGAGCCAAGAAAAACAATAGGTCTCTATATCATCGATTGCGTTACAAGGAAACTTACGCAGCCGTCGGATGTTCCCGATTCATACATACATACCACAAGTCTGAAGTCGGATGGGGTGACGGATTAGGGTGCCCCTCTAGCAGGGGAGAGCAGGGACTGCCCCGAGAAAGGGGGCCGCTGGCGAAGTTAACCACCCTGTAACAACATACATACCACAAACGCGTTCCCACATTCCCTTCCCGCAGGATACCGCAGGCCTGTTAGGGAGGAAAATCCCCCATATTATGCAGCCGGAACGGAGGCATCACCCGGCCCCAGCGCATCCGCAGAAGCCCCCACTTCGACCCTGCCGCCAGCTTACATCAGCAATAATCGTTTAGTCGCAGAGCCGCTGACCCCAAACGAAATTCCACAGGCCTTCCCCCTTTCCGCGGCAGCCACCCTTCCATTGGGTCCCAACTGGGCCCTAAACCGACGTCTTCCACCCACCTCCTCCGAAATCGCTCCCGTGGCGATCACCGCAACAAATGCCGCCGGCATGCCATCACCATCCTTCATGCCTCCAGCGAATCCACCCGCCGCTGGCATCCACCTTAACCTTCCCCCCACAGGCAGCAGCAATAGCAACGCCGGCGCCACCATCGCCACCTCCCGCCTGCCGCTTACCCTTCCCTCCTCGCGCCCTAAACACCGACGCGCTGGACCCAGCACCGCCTCCTCCGTCTTTGACGATTCGTCCGATTCCTCTTCGGAGGAGAGTGCCCTGGCGCGTCGCTCTGCGCGTATGGTTCCCCGCATAGCACCTCCAAGCAGTGCCGCTACCGCCATAGCCGTCTCCGCCGCCAACATTCTTAGCGCCGCGCCCCCAATGATACCTGGCCCGACAGCAGGGGGCCCTGCACCACTAGCATGCTCAACTTTAGCGGCCCTTACCTCTAGAGTGGAAGACTCAAGCAGACGACTGGTATCCTCAATCCCTGCTGCCGCCTCAACTGCGGCCCCACTGCGGCCGTCAGACGACAACGTTCTCCTTCTGCAGCAGCTACAACTGCAGCAACAGCAACTGCTAGCACAGTACGGCCTGCTGTCGCCTATGTCAGCGGCTGTTTCGACACAGCAGCAGATGCAGCACCTACAGCAGCAATTGACACAGCTGCAGCAACTGCAGCAGCAGCAGCAGGGTTTCCTATCGGCCTCGTCTGTGGGTGCATGCGGAGGGAGTCCTCGGGCTGCTGCCACCGGAACTGGTGCAGTTACGTATCCGGGAGAGGGGGTGGCGGCGGCGGCGGCGCTACTGCCGCTCTCTCAACGGGGCTCCGCAAACTCCTCTACAGCAGCTGCAGCTAGTCAGGGACTGCCGACGGTTGCTGGAGCCGCTCTCACGCAGCCGCTGCAGCAACAGGCACAGCGACAGGGCCATCAGGCTCTGCATGATGCTTACCTGCGGCAGTGGAGCGAGGTGCAGCCCATCCCAACGGCAACGACAGGGATGGCCGCCGCACCTGCCGCCAGCATGGCCGGAACACCAGTAGCAACAACAGCAACAACAGCAGCTTCATCAATCCCATCCGCGTCTACTGGCACAGGCATTACGAAAGGCCGGCCTTCTTTGCAGCTCGCATCTGCAACCGCCGCCCATGGCGGTGCGCAGGGCCCCGATGCAGCAGCAGCCGCAGTAGCCGCGCCGTACAGCACCCTTGAAGCTGAAGCTCAAGAGCCGCCATTGCCGCCAATGGAGCACCTACTGCTGTCCTTGGGGGTGTTCTCCACTGGCGACCCAGCTACTGCTGCTACTGCTGCTGCTGCTGCTGCTACTGCTACTGCTGGGGGCCCTCTTGCTACTGCAATAGCTGCGGAGCCAGGGCTAAGGCTGGGATCACCGCCAGTGTCCGTCTACAACGGCGGCGGCAGCGGTGTGGCGGTGGCGCCACCGCTGCAATTGCCGATACCAGCGGCAGCTTACGGTGGTGGTGGTGGTACCGTTGCGGGCGCTCAGGAGGGGGCTCAACAGGCACCGCCGGCGCCGGCGCCCTTGCCTGCGAGCGATCAAGGCAGAGGCAGCGGCGGTCTGGATATCGTGGAATCGCATGACAGCTTGCCCAATGCGGATTTGGTAGCCCAGAACCTCGCTGGGAATATTAATGCAATTGCGATTTTCGAAAAAGATGAGGTGCGGGACGAGGTGGTTGGAGGCAGGGATACGGCAATCAGTGAGGCGCTAGTTGCCTTACGATGTTTGCTGTGGTGCCAGACATAGCGCTTGGCGACTGGTGGGCACGAAGAGAGTTCTGACGCCTGGTGATAGTGATGATGATGGGGCAGCAGCGGTGGCTGTGGCTTACCTTGGTGTTTCGTCCCGCGTACCGCCCCGTGCTTTTGGATTGCCTGCCTTTCCTCTTGCTTGGTGCCTGCCTTTTTCACGCCCCAATTCGCGCTTTGGGGGCTTCAAGATCTTTTTTTTACCTTTTTTCACCCCTTCCTGTGTTTCGTGTTGTCGCTTTGGAAGTCGGTTGGTTGCATTGTACTATTCCCTCTCTGCTCCCCTGCCTCTTTTATGCTCCTCGTCTGGGGCGTTGAGCTTTGCGTCCTGATCTGGGTCAGGGGGTTTTAGGTCCTGATCAGGGTCAGAGCATCTGGGTTCTAACCCCGGTGTTTTTTCTGTTTTAAACACACTTTTCCTTCTGCTGTTCTTGCTGTTGCTGGAGCCACTCCTGGCCTCCTTCCATAGGACGACGATGACGCAGGAGAGACGGAGGACGACGACGACGTCGCCCCCATCTGGTACGAGCGACCCGCAGTGTTGGCCTTCCTCGTGTCTGTGGGCCTGGGCCTGGGGCTGCTGCTGGTGGGGCTGGTACTGCACATCCGTTACAGAGCCACCTACGACGCCTTCCGCTGGTGCTATTTCTTCGCGGCCTTGCCGCTGCTGTATTACATCCTGGCATACGCGTCCAAGCACGCGTTTATGTTGCTGGAGGTGCGTGAGTAATGGGGTCTATTTCTTGCGGATTGTTTGTTGGTGTCGGTCGGCAGGTGGGGGCATGGGTGCATTTGTATACACTAGGTGGGGGCGCGGGTTCAGGTCTCCGCTGGACCCGTTCCCAATGCCCCCCTCCACCCTTTCCCCCCCCTTCCAATTGGTGTTTTGGACGTTTCGGCAATTTTAGTTGACCCCTTTTTGCGCTTCTTGCATCATCATATCATTCCCTCCACTCTACTCCACTCTATTCCATTCCTTGCCCTTCCCCTTCTCCTTGCAAATGCCCCCCCCCTCCCCGCCCCGCCCCCCCCCTCCCTCCTGGGCCCCGTCAAACAACTGCCGCGCAGTGGTTATTCTTCCGGGAGTCGCTGTTCTACCTGGATAACCTCCAACGAAGTGCGCTGTGGCTGCTCTTCTTCCTGGCTCTGCTGCCCTGGTACCAGACCGTGTTCAGGTACGGCGCACGGCTACGGGTTAAGGTGCCTTAACGCCGTGGTCGTACGTGTCGTACACATCGTGCATGGGGGTCTAGGACGTTTGAAGTGAGAGCCATATCTCTTTCGGCTGCGGAAACCCAGGGCTATCAGAGTGTCTGTGTGTCTGTGTCTGTGTGTCTGTGTCTCTGTGTGTCTGTGTCTCTGTGTGTCTGTGTCTCTGTGTGTCTGTGCCTGTGTCTGTGTCTCTGTGTGTCTGTGTCTGTCTGTGTCGGTAGGTCCGCCAGAGCCGGTGGCGGCGAGGTCCGCGGGTTCAGCCTTTTCTTGTCGTTCTTGCCTCGCAAGGTAATACCCCCCTTTGCGAGGGGTCGTCGGGGCCTTTGTCGTCGGCTGTCCGCGATTGCGCTGACAGCCCCTTGATCTCCATTCTCTGTTATCCGCCGGAGCTTTTAGGTTCTCCGTTTTCTCCTTTTTCGTGGAAAGAAAACTGCACTCTGAAGTTTTATCCGCTTCCGCGTCCCTCCCTGTCTCGTACGACCCCTCATACTCTTTCCTGCTACAGGTGGGCCTGGTGCCACAATACGGCAACCTTCCGTCGCCGTTGTGAGAGCCCCGCTTACCTGCAAGCCACCTCCGCTGTATGGAACGTGTTGCTGTGCCTGATGCTGTTCTGTCTGGCCAATCTGCTGAAGGTGGGACCGGTCTGTATGGGGGGCGGGGGGGGGCGGGGGAAGCGGTAGAGGGGAAACCGGAAATCCCGTACGGATAAGCTCTCTTACATATAGCAATAGCTGCATAAACTGTGTAGACGGAAACGGTACTGTTACAGCTTGCGAGCTGGGTGGAGGAGGAGGGAGAGGCGAAAAGGGAAGGAAGGTCGCTTCCCCGATACGAAAGGATGGAACTCATCCGCAAGGAGGCCGCCGAATGGTTGCCTTGGCCCATGGATGGTTGTGCGATGTGTTTTCTCCAGAAATTGATTTGAGAAATTATTTTTGATTTTTTTTCGTTCTGCTCTGGTCCCTAATGTCACGCCCCTTTTTATGTTTCATCAGTTTTTCTACCCGTTGCCCTATACCCGCCCTCCCCCCCGCCCCGCCCCGCTTCCAGGCAGTGCTAGCTAAACTGCTTACCACCCACTTTTACCGCACCGCGCACTTCAAGAAGCTCAAGAGCGCGCTGGAAAAGGAGTACGCGTTGCAGGTAGGGGACTATGTGGTAACCGTAACCGAAGCTGTACCTCAAAAAGCCGTTAACCCCACGTCAGCAGTCAGCCGTGGACCCTTATAAACCCAAGAACACATTCACGGACTGGTAGGTCCTGGTGACTGATGATACCATGGGGTACCTCTCTTTCTGATTGCCCAACATTCCGTCATCCCGACAACACCTTCATTCGGCTAAGGCTATTTCACCTCGGGCCCTTTCCCGCATTCTCGACACGTAGGTGCTATCTCGCCCCCGACGGCAAGTTATATCCGAGCGATGGGGCCAGCAGCAGCAGCAACAGCCGCCGCAGCAGCAGCAGTTGGATTTTGATGGAAACCCAAACCCGCACCAGCCCCACCATCACAATGCCGTTTGGTACAATCTGGCCTCATACCTAAATTACCATCACCACAACAACCACGGCGGCAGCGGCGGTGACCCCACCGCTGCTGCCATCGCTACCACTGACGGCGCCGCTGCCAGCACTGCTTTCCATGCAAGCCGCGTGCCGGCGGCCATTCCGGCGGAGCAAACGGTAGGAGCGATGGAGGAGGCGGCTGAGGGACAGCCGGAGCCGACGGCCACCACGATCACGAACGTCAGCCCCGAGGTTGTACTGCCGCCGCCGCCGCTGCAGCAGCAGCAGCCGCTGCCGCTGCAGCTGCCGCAATCGACACCGCCACGGGCGCTACAGCCGACGCCCACGGCGTTACCCATCAGCAGTGTCGACGTCACGGTGGAAGCCGGCCGTAGCGCCGCCGCCGCCGCCGCCGCCACCCCTCCAGCAGTGGCGGCGGTCTCCTCCGCAGAACTGCCCTCCCGTTCACCATCGCCCATCGTCGCCAACCGCCAACTGGGGACCCATGTGAGAACTGCTACAGCCGACCCGCAGCTGCTGCAGCTCACAGCGCCGCACTTGCAGCAGAAACAGGAGACGGACGCTTGTGGATACACCGTTGCCGCTGCGGCAAGTGGCGGCGGTGGCGTCGACCCGTCAGGCATCTCCCTGGACCAAATTCCTGCAGCTGCTGATGCAGCGGCAGTATTGGCCTCGTCCGGGGAGGGAGGCGTCAGCCGGCGGCCTCGGGAGTTGCTGCCGTCGTCGTCGCTGCCGTCGCTGGCCCAGCAGCAGCTGCCGGCTTGTGTCGGGTTGTTTGCCCCGCCCGCGGTAACGACGGTGGGTGCAACGGCCCCACCGGGAAGGTCTACTTCGTTGGTGCGGCGTGACAGTGGAGTCCGCCGGTCTAGCAAGACGCAGCTGAGGGGGGTCGGCAAGCCACCAGCAGGTCGGTTGGCAGGAGGGGGGAGGGGGAGGAGGAGGAGGAGCAGGAGGAGAGGGGCACTCTCGGAGAGACCAAAGGCGGGGGGAGGGGGGATAGATCGACTTACTGGTGTTCGAAAGTTCGAGAGAGTTGTGGATTTTGGAAATAAGGTTCTTCATCATCAGTGTGTGTGTGTTCTTAAAGATTTTTTTATGTACTTATAAAAAGAACTACGGATAGTGCCCCGTCCCCCTAGGGGCCCCCCTTGCATATGATTACTGTCTCCCTGGCTTTTAACAACCCTTCAGCTTCTAGTTCTCACCCTTCCTTCCCCCACCTTCCCATTATAGCAGTTTCGTTTTCTTCCCCCTCGCCCGCCCCACCACATCACACGTTCATCCTCGCCTTCTCTGCGCACCTTACCTCATTGCCTAGGTACTGGCCTGCGTGCTCTCCCTCCCCCTGCTCACCTCACCTCCCATCCGTTCACCTCACCTCCCACACGTTCACCTCACCTCCCTACGTAGCCGTTCCCGGGGCCCCCCCTGTGCGACCCCGCCGAGAGGCGTCCGAGGCGCTCACTCAAGCCATGGCCTCAGCCGTGGTCATGAGGAGCACCAAAGCCAAGGCCTCGCAGCAGCAGCAGCAGCAGCAGCAACAACAACAACGACAGCAGCATAGTGGCAAAAGTGAGGGCGGGACGGCAGTCGCAGGAGCAGCAGCAGCAGTAGCAACGGCCGCGGGGCGCAGCGCTCTGAGCACTGCTGCGCAAAAGGTACGTATGTGCAGGTGTGCGCTTTGGTACGGTGTGGTGCGGTGTGTTAAATGCTTTGCAGCTGGGGGTGGCTAATGCAGGCTTGCGCGCACTTGGCACGTTTCCTTCCATGTGCATTCATTCATGTACAAGTGGTGCATCAATGAGAGCAATGAGGTACAGGTCGAGGGTACGTCTCGGTACACTCTCTCTCACACACACACAAGAAGGAAGTTCAAAACCAACCACCGGGATAGTCGGGTCGGCCCACAGCGTAAAGTGGTCGAATGAAAAGCGTGAGATGACGACGGGTTGTCTTTCTTTGCGTGAAGTGTTGTTTTCACTCGCGCACATCGTTTGCGTGTGTCAAAGCGCAGCAGCGCTGGAAAACTGTTTCTGGAATGCAGTGCAGGAATAGATGAATGAAATGTCGCCAGTCGTTATTTTCACCGGGTTTTCACGCTCTCTTTCTGCTTGGTCTGGGGGCCGCTTAGGTTAATCCGTCCCTGCCAGAGTCTGTCTGTCTATCTGTCTGTCTGTCAACGCCGGCGTCTAAATAGGACAAACCAGTTCCCTCCCATTCCACATATATTCAACCTCCCACCTCACGCCTCGTACGACAGGGTCTACGGCACCTGACTGATGCCGAGCTGGAGAAGGTCCGTACAGCCATCGTCATCAAAACCCAGTCGGCGCTCATTTCCAAGTACACCGACCGAAGCGACGAGGACATGGTAAGTACCTCACACGTATCCGGGAAAGCTCAGTGCCCTGATGATGGAGCCCGCGTGATGAGGGGCCATCCAAGACCTGTCGCCTTCGTCCCCCTGGCGGCCCCTGACCTCCGATGAGGGATACTGAGGGATATTCCTAGGAACCGTTGAAACAAACCTCAATGCCCCATTCCTCCGCACACCCCCCCCCCACACACACATAGACACGTACTGACAGACACACACATAAACACACACATAAACACACACTTAAACACACACTTAAACACACACATAAACACACACATAAACACACACTTAAACACACACATAAACACACACATAAACACACACATAAAATAAACACACACATAAACACACACATAAACACACACATAAACACACACATAAAATAAACACACACATAAAATAAACACACACATAAACACACACATAAACACACACATGAACACACACATAAACACACACATAAACACACACATAAACACACACATAAACACGCACACACCTCATGCCTGCAGGCCAAGGAGCTAGGTCGTGTGAAGCGGTTCGCCAAGGCGCTGTTCTACAACGTTCTGCCGACCGTGACGAGTGGGGAGGGAGCTAGCGGAGGCGGCGCAGGAGGGGGTGGTCGCAGAGACTACCTCATCCTCGATGACTTTTTGCCGTTTTTTGAGGAGGCGGAGGGCGCTGGCACATCAGCAGGAGGATGGGGAGGATCAGGGACACCTGCAGCAGCAGCAGGAGGGGTAGGTGGTGATGGTCGGAAACTGCCATCGACGGCATCGCTACCGCACCTAGGGCAGCTGCAACAGCAACAGCATCAATCAGAACAGCAGCATCAACAGAGCCATCACCACCTGCAGGAGGGCCAGCAGGGCGGGAGCGCCCGATATGGAGGCAGTGGCGGTGGCAGCGGGGTTGGTGGAGGAGGAGGAGGAGGAGGAGGAGGCGGCAAGAGCCTGACTCGCAATTCTATAGCGGTGAGAGCGGGAGGCCAGGGAGAGAGATGTGTACAGAGAGAGATGTGTGTACCTGCGTCTCCTACATTGCGTAGCATCATGTAAGCCATGTAAGCCATGTTTGCCATGTTTTCTTCCCCTTGGCTGCCCCCTCCCACAGCTTTCGGTGGACCCCGCACGTGCTGCACGGCAACGAGCACGGCAGCGGGCTGCGGTGGAGGCGGCTCAGAAGGCGTTTGCTGTGTTCGATGCGGACGGCAATGGCGAGGTGCGTCGAATAGGGGTGTGAGCGGGCGGGCGGGTTGGCGGTCACATATCTTGGTCGGTCTGGGAAAGCAAGGGAGCCTCCAAGGGGCAATCAGGAGGGACACCTCCCGCCCACGACACCCCCTCAACCCTTTGCACTCCAAACCCCATCTCTCCCCACCCCTACACCTGCTGCTGCAGGTCTCTCGCGCTGAAGTCAAGGAGGCCGTAGTCAATATCTACAAAGGTACTTGGATGGATGTTGACATGGGGGAATCATATGCAAGGAGCAAAGGGTCGGGCCGGGAATGGAGGGAGAGGGGTTTCGGGGAGGTTTTGGGGGATGGGCGGGTGGTGAACCGTGGGTCGGCGGGTGGGTGAGTGGGGCCCCGGTGACCGATCCTTGTACTTCTGTAAGAGCTGCTTTGTAAAGAGCTGAGGAAAAGCTAGAGATCTTGATGATTTGACGAACCTCAGGGTATCACGGGCGTTCCAGGGTCGGGCGTAAACGTCATACGTGCTGGTGGTGGTGGAGGTGTTGTTGGTGGAAGTGGTGCTGCTGCTGCTGGTGGTGTTGGTGGTGTTGGTGCTGGAAGTGGTGCTGCTGCTGCTCGTGGTGGTGGTGGAGGTGTTGTTGGTGGTGCTGGTGGTGTTGGTGCTGGAAGTGGTGCTGGTGGTGGTGGTGGTGGAGGTGTTGTTGGTGTTGTTGGTGGTGTTGGTGGTGGTGGTGGTGCTGGTGCTGGTGGTGTTGGTGGTGTTGGTGCTGGAAGTGGTGCTGCTGCTGCTGGTGGTGGTGGTGGAGGTGTTGTTGGTGGTGCTGGTGGTGTTGGTGCTGGAAGTGGTGCTGGTGGTGGTGGTGGTGGAGGTGTTGTTGGTGGTGTTGGTGTTGTTGGTGCTGGAAGTGGTGCTGCTGCTGCTGGTGGTGGTGGTGGTGGAGGTGTTGTTGGTGGTGCTGGTGGTGTTGGTGCTGGATGTGGTGCTGCTGTGCTGGTGGTGCTGGTCGTGGTCGCGTCGCAATTCACTTCTTCAGCCCCTCCGACACATATCGGCACATACTCCCGCCTCCCCGTCTCCACGCGCCCTTCAGAACGACGCAACATGGCCCGCAGCCTTAAGGATACGGACACTATAGTGCAGGTAGGCACGGGTGCGCTTCTGCGTTCGCCCACATGTAGCCCATGTACTGTAAAAGGCGCGCATGTAGCTGCGACTACTACCGCACGCTATCTCAGACCACCTACCTAATCGTTCACCCCGCATGGCGCAATGCATTTGAGGTACAATTGCTGTACATACACATGGCGTGGGATACCGTACTGCTAGAGCATACAGCTTGGCTGTCCTCACTCGACCATGCCCATGCACCCCCCCTTTGTCCCTGGCTTCGGTCCTGTCCCTGGCTTCGGTCCTTGCTCAGAGCCTGGAGTTCGGTATCGGTGGGATTATCCACTTCGTGTTCGCCGCCGTGTACCTGCTGATCTGGGGGGTGGACCTGCTCACGGGCTTCTCCACCTTCTCGACCACCGTGCTGGCACTCACGTTCGTGTTCGGAAACAGGTATACGATGGCGAGAGGGGACGTGAGGGGGGCGCTGGGTGGATGGCGAGAGGGGACGTGAAGGGGGGGAGGGGGAGACGGGGCAGGACCGGAACCATGAACATGGCACAAGGACTAGATGAGTCCTTGGCGATGGATGTAGGGATTTCATTGCATGCTTGGAACGGACAGAGTTACCGACAAACCGGCTAACCCACCAAATACGTGAGTACGCAGCTGGGCTGTGACTGTGGGTCGAGTTGTCACAGTTGAGTGTGGAATGGTTGCCGGGCGAGATGTGCATGGACCGGACAGTGCATGTGGCCGATGGCGTGATGTGGCGTGATCTGGCCTGACCTTTAGTAGGAGTAGGAGTGCGATTTCGTGATGCGGTGTATCGAGCAGGTGATTACTTTTACAGCTTTACGTAGCATACCATGGTATGGTGGATTGGCAGTGGCATGTCTTGTCCCCACTGTCAGTTCTTTTGCCGATATGGGTAATGAATGGATTCTTTGGGCCACCTGGGTGTTTTGGTCCTCCAACTGGCGGTTGCCTGGTGATAGTGGCGGTTGTTGGTGACAGCAAAGACGAACGGTGGCAACGGTAAACGGCACCGTTGTTAACGATGGAGTGGACAATCGCATGTCTCGATGTTGCGGGCATGTCATTGACCTCGTACGTTCGTGGCGTCATTCCTCCTGCCCTGCCCTGCCCTGCCCTGCCCTGCCC